TATATATATATACACTTACAAAGGAAAACAGTCGTTGAATTCTCTTTCTTCAAGCACAAAAGCTAATTGTACAGAGTTATTATTGTACTATAAAATAATAATGGCAGATCTTTTCGTCTAATCGTCGCGATATAAAATCCCCCCCTCCAACCCCACCTTCCATCCCCCAAAGTATATACCATCCCCAAATAATAACTTATACGATAATTATTTACTAATTTACTAAACGTTTTAGACCATTGGATTTAAAATCAATCTAAACATTTGTAACATTCAGAAAGACACTTTTTCGTTATACGATTGTATCGTCTTTTTTGAAAGATCATACAAATTTGACTCACATCAATTTTGATCCAGGTCGAGTAAACTTTGCCATTTTCGAACAAGCCTGCCGTATTTGCCCTACTGACCTTTTATGACCGATAATCGTGCATTTCGTTTTGATCAACATACTTCTGATCGATGTTGCATTATGAAACGTTATATATGTATATCATTTCAACATATATTTTTTTGGGCCGATCCAATAATACAATTTTTTTTTTATATATTCATAAATCTTTTGTTCTTTTGACATAATATATTTTGATGATACTTAGACAGAAAATGTTTATGTAAATATATATATATATTATTATTAATTTATTTTAATTTATTTTTTATTTTAATTAGATAAAGCGGTGAACCCTGAATAGAGGTTATATATATGGATATTGTATAACATATTAATACATTACTTATTATACTATATTTAATATTATGCATATCTATTGTGCATAAATATTTGCAGTTTAATAACAATAATAGATGAATAATTTGATTACTATTATTTTGTTATAATTAGATCTATTTTTTAAATTTTTTCTATACAAATTTTCTATACGAGGAAGCTGTCGAAAAAAGGAATCACGTTTGTATCTTGCATTGATAAAAGGCGCCTACATAGTGAAACTTACGTAACATGCCGGTTATTTGTCGGTTTATCTCGAAAGGAAGATCGTTCCACATACCTAAATTCAAAGTTACGCGTAACGAGAGAACGATAGTGATAATACATATTCATAAGATTACGTCAAAAAATTTTTAAGACATATAACATCCTTTGCATTGTTTCCGATTGCAGTCCGATAAATTCTCGTTAAATATCCTAGGACTATATATACTCATACATATACATGTAAAATGGAGTATCACTATGTCAATTATACTTCGAGTATTTACTGACAATCATACATTCTTATGTCTTATAAAAAAGACATGAAAATTATTCTATTTGTTTCAACATCGACTATGAAATATTATTCCTTTTTGTTTTGTTTTTTTCTTTTTTTTTTTTTTTGCTATTATAATACGTAATACATATTTCGTATTATAATTATTTAATAAAATTTCGGTTAATGTCCAAACTTAACGATCTGTACGATGTTGCAATATTTTTCGATGCAATTGTACATTTTTATTTATTGTCTCAGACCTCGATTTCTAACGGTTTCAATTTCACTAATGTAAGCTACATTAACAGCAAGCCTGTGAAATCGAAAATAACAGTTCCAAATTAGTAAAACGGAAGGAACTAGATCCACTTTCGCTATTCGCTTTCAGACTTATACGCGTTGTTTGATGCATTCATTTGAGAAATGAATTACTGTTCACACTGTTTACACGTTAAGTGTTAAATAAGTAATGATATAATATATATAATTACAAATTTACTATTAACGCAAATATTTATACGCTATTTCTACATACGTCCATTCAAGAATTATTAATCTATCATTCTTATTGGATTTTATTTTTCAAACGATGGTCTATTGTTTTGCTAATGATAAAGTGTCAAAGAATTGTCAATTTTACAATAATCTTTTTAATGAAAAAAAAAGTAAAAGAAGGTTAGGGTAAGATTAACGTAAGAAAAAAAGTGATTTAAAATGGTGTTGTCTACCTTTAAAATAATTGGCGACAGAAGATGTAGAAATTTCATAGAAATTCCAAAAGTATAATCTACGTCGATAGCACGATGAGATATCCTTTATGGTTATCAGATATTTCGTTGATATCTCGATCTACCAAGAATTCTCGCGTCGTTAAACAGCCCCATTGAAAATAATAACTGAACGTGTATATGCATACATGAGTTTTGATTCGTTTGTCATAAAATACGAGTTGTGTACGGAGGTCAATGGGAAATAATTACTTTAAATACTCTGATGATTGAAAGAGGGGCATTGAGTTACCTATTAGACACAGGAAGAGGGAAGACTATGGACCATTTTCTATCTACGTATAGATCTTTGTCTTCATGAAGTATTTTGTTTTTTCTTTTTTCTCCTCTTTATTTATTAATTCTGATCGATTTTCCAATTTGCTCATAAACAACCATAACCATTCGAAAGTATTGGCACAGATTAAACTCTTATGTTTCTTCTATAAATCTGTTAGAAGTACAATTCTTTATATAATTCTTTTTGTTAATATATTTTTCCAGTTTATTGTATTTAAGTATATAGAAGGGCATGACGATTAAATTTTGTTTATAATAAAATAAAAATAGTTTTATTTTTGTTTAGCTAAAAACGGACTTTTATAATTAATGCTCTTTTATTTATTAAGATGAAATAAGGTATCATAAATATACTGAAATTAATACTAAAAATTACTGAATTCAACTTTATAACAATTCTAATAATTAATCATTTATAGTACTACTTAGAATTTTTACCGATAATAATATAATTACATCTGCAAAGTAATTTATTACAGCAAAAATTATCATTCAAATTATGATGATGCACATGCACTTACGTATATACTGTTTACATACACAAGTTTAATCGATATTTTGCTTGAAATCACAATGAGAACGACGTTTCGATGATCTCGATGTCATGGAATATCGCACAAGTAAAACATTGCGTACATCTGCATTATATGAAATATGTCACACGTGACACATCGAGATATTTATAATCATTGTGGTCTGCTAATAGTAGATCTTATAAATTACGCTAGAGAGTGAGAAAAATAATGTTAGTTACAGAAAAGTGAGAGAAAACATATATATAGAAGAATACAAGTCACGTAATAGTGAATATATTCGTTAGAAAGTTAAAGAAAAAAGAATATATTTAACTGCATTTGTATTGGTAACATTTTCACACTTCATTGTAATGAAATAAAGACAACCTATTTGCATAATTTAAGAATACAAAAGAAACAGATGCGTTTATGTATAGTCATTATTACAATTAGTT